GGCCCGCCCCTCCTCTTTCATCCCATCCCCATCCCCTCTTCCTTGCGTGCATTCCCCCCCCCCCCCACAACGTGGCCCAGCCCGATAAGATTCTGTAAAAAGAAACACCACAGTTTGTGATTTAGCCCACAGTCGGCGGCCATATTTGATCGCCACCGCGACGTACTGCTCGTGGTGCCGCGAAGAGAGAGAGGAGGCTCCATTAGTTCTAAGCTCCTTGGATGATACCAATAACTCCACATGCACAAAAATTGACGAGCGCCTGATTCTACCGCGTCATACACGAATGTTTGATGTCAGGAAGGTGCAATGCTTTTTTCTAAAATTTAAATGCAGGTTTTTTTCACCTGCTTAAACATTTATTTAAATTTTAGAATCTTTGTGCATGTTATATTACGGTACTGGCAGGTTCTAATTCACTTCATTCCTTCTGTTGTTTTTGTCTATGTGTTTTCTTTCTTGCACTAAAAAATGACCATTAATGTGTCCATGTGCTCCTCTTGACTTGAAGAAACAAAAATATGGTAGTCTTGATTTAAGAAATACTTGACAAATTTTTACATCTTTAGTTAGTCTATGTGCACGAGCTTCTGTTGGGTGGATGGTTGGTGGGTCTCTTAGTTTACTCCTAATCTTTTCTACCAAACATCCATCGTCCTTATCTCTCTTCTTCTTTTCTTTGTTACTCTCTAGTGTAGCAACTAGAACTTATCTTCCATGGGGTCTGAAAAAAAGATTTTTTTTTTTCACAACAGGTATCTCTGACATAATGGTCCAAAAACATTTGTAAGAATAAGAAAATGATTCCCTATTTATTAACTCTTTATCAACCAGTCTTAATTTCATGGATTTTCACTAAACCTGCACTGTCATATTTAGACACGTAAGTTTCTGTTTCAGTAGGCCTATATATTATAACTACAATTTTGGATCTGGATCTACAATAAGTTGCCCATTGGAAAAAATCTGGGAAGCGGATCATAGTGGATGGGATAGAGAGTTTGAATTCAGAAAATGAACGGTATATTATTGATACAGGAATTTGTTATTTAAAATTTGGATTTGTAGCCTAAAGTGAGTCCGATTCTAGATCCAAAATTGTCGGTGACACAATGCAATGTGATGGCACTCGAAAAATGCGCCTTTAAGTTAAGTGCCTTAGAGTTCAAGCATTGAATTCTCATTAAGAAAGGACTTAATAAGCTATCATCATCATCATCATCATGTCTTTTTTCAACCTGACCAATTTAGCCAATATTATAAAAATATGGATTTGGGGAACTGGACAGAAAGGTGCATGTAATTTGGGGTAAAATTGGTAAAAACAACGTGTCTGTCATTCTGGCCAATTGGAGTTGACAATGGACATTTAATTCTGAAATAATTTCTGTTTTGCAGAGGTGAGCATTAAAGTTAAAGTTTGGACATCCGGTTATAAACGAATTGAAGAAAATAAACACTTCAGCTTTTTTCTTCTGTACCATAATAATAGAGACAAGCTGCCATACTTATGACGTGCAGATGAACAGAATTTAGTAAGAGTTTTACAGCACTTGCAACACAAATAGGTCATATAAGTGCTGAAGATTTGAGGTGCTGTTAGATAGTAATATGTAATGAAAAGGAGGACAAGAGGGACGACAGATGTTTGATAGGACAGTAAGAGCGAGAACCACACCAGAGCACCTGCCAACCACCCACAGGCTGGAACATAAACTGATTGAAGTAACAGAACACTAATAGACGATGGGGAGTTTGTTTACAAAGCATGAAAAATGTTCAGCTCCCATTGATGTGCAGGGTGTCGGAGTATGAACTGCTGCTGTCTCTTGCATTTAAAAAAAAAAAGAAACCAACCCAATAAAGGAAACATCCAAAACAGAAACGATACTAACAACCTTTTTTTCTATTTAAAAAAAAGAACATTTTTATTACAATTAAAATAAGTAAATCACAACAAATTTCAAAATGGTATGAAAGAGCAGTTTACATCACATCAGACAGGGTCAAACCAGCTCAGGCTCCAGGACAAGTTGTTCACTTTTAAGGACAAGTGGGCAATCCCGAAAAAATATGAAACCAAACTTCTACTATAGGTAAGGCAATGCCCACTTTTGGTGTAGGTCAAGATTTCTGGAAACACCCGAAATCTGGGTTAGCCCGCTTGTCCTTAAAAGCCACCAGTTAACTCACCTCATTTCACGGATCTATTGTAATTGCCTAATAGTATAGTGACAAATAATACTAACATATTAGGACCACGAGCCAATGATCAAGCAATAACGAGGCTACCTCTATATGTTCACATTCACAGAACTCTCTTTTCTAAGACCCCCACCTAAATTTCAAGAAAATTACTCGTACCACCACTCAGGCTCCTACCCTAAAAGTCAAATGAGAATAATTTTTACTACATTTTAAAATTAATGAATCAGTGAAGTCCTTTCACATCCCAGTTTTTCTTTGGCCACGAGTCAAAATCCATTTTATTTGAAAATTATTTTTAAAATTGTTTAATTCAGAACAAGAAATGCACGCTGAAAAGAACTTAAGACTCAAGAACGCCTCTAATAATAATAATAATAAATAGCTTTTGTATAGTGCATATCCCCTTTCGCTGTCTATAGCCGGGTACCGGTACCTATTCCCACCAGGGTGAAGTGAGGAAAATAAGTGTAAAGTGCCTTTCCCGAGGACACAACGTCGGGCCCCTGACGGGATTCAAACCCATGACCTTACAGTACAGTTGCGAGTCCGAGAGCCTAACCACTAGGCCACCGACGCCACCTATTCCGCAAATAAGAGAGAACAGTGAGGGTATCATGTGAACAAAACACAGGTAATGTTGGTGGGGAAATGAGCTTTCAACATCTCTACCAGCAGTGTGTAAACATAATTTCCTTCTGTAGTTTATAGAGTACCACACATCAATTCAAAGAAAAAAAACCCATCTTTGACAAGAAATGCAATCAAAATCAAACCAAGATAACTACACACTCATTACTTAATGCACATGTGATTAAAGACAATAAGTAATAAGTTTTACGAAGTATACATCTAGAAATGAATATGATGAGTGAATCACAACAAACACCCCCCCCCCATGCACAAAAATTGAAAAAAAAAAAAAAAAAAGAAAAAAAAAAAGAAGAAAAAAAAAAAACCCCCCCCCCCCCCCCCACCTATAACAAAAGAAAAACAAAAAACAAAAAACAAGCAAACCAATCTCATGAAACAAAAGAAATAAATAGCATAAAAAACCCATCAGAACAGCTCTCGAACCATAACAACATAATCTCACACAAACCGCCAATAATAAGGCATCATGTAGAAAAGGCCACAGGAAAGACATCAGCGCAGTTTCATGCCTGTCAAATACAAACAAATTCCAGGTAAACCCAATGCCAAAAAGTATATATTCCCTTTTGCCATTCTCTCAAGCTAATATAATTTCAGTGCCCTCTGCAAACAAAACCCGCATTTCCACACACTCATTAGGGAGGGCAATACAAACCCTACTCTCCTGGATTTGCTTCTTTCTCCAGCTCCCTTTACTTTCTACAAAAATGCCATCATATTCAGTGCATCAGCTTTCAATCTAACTTGATAAACAGAAGACAGATACTTATGAAGTCAAAAAGATAGTGTTCACACGCAGCAGCTATACAAGGAAAACACAGAGTAACATTATATTCACCAGATAACACAGTTGTACTTGTAAGTAATAATGTAAAGATTATTTGCAAAGAAAAACATAATCCGTGTAACAAGAAATGGCCCACCAGCTGTGGTCTGGTCACCATTTTGATTACATCTCAGCACTTGAAGCTACTTGAGTCTGATGTGCCGGGGAAAAAAGTGACCCACATGTCAACAATAATATTACATTGAAAAATATATGTGGTAACACTGGAAATGCTGTATTTTGTAAACGCAGGTTGTCACAACAGTCTCTCAACAATGGAAAACAATTTCACAATGGTCATTGTGATTGTGACGACTTTAACCCTCCAAGTGCCGCTGACAAATTATAACCTGTAGTATCAGCATTAGGGGAAATTGTGTGATTTCATCATATTATGTGGGAAAAAACTTGAGAACAGGTAATCCAAGCAATAAGGGCAATAAAAACCTACACATTTTTAGGAAGAAGAATGTAATTTTATAGGAAGTGGAACTCATTTGTGAAGGGGTTGAAATGTTAGGTAATTTTTTTTTTTAAAGGGATAAACAAACCAAAAAAGCGACTCAAATTACGGCCAATTAACTCAGCTGTGATGGCACAAAACAAAACAATTTATCTGATCAATCTGCCGTCGACATTAGGAGGGTTAGCTATTCATGAAAACTCACACACAAACTTAAAATAACAAATTTAGAAGGCCTTATCATCTCGTTAAATTTCTATTTGCTCAGAAAAACACTCTCCCCAAGGGCCCAAAACCTCAGTCCTATATATAACGAAATGCACATTTTTTGCCTACTAGCTAGTTCTCCTATTCTGAAAAGGCTGATTTTCCAATAAAAATAGGACTATGTAATTGTATGGTCCAAGTTTAACGTCTTTTATTGCAATTCACATAACAAATTCTGGCAGTTTTCTGATAAGGAAATTAGACCACCATAATAATAATAATAAATAGCATTTGTATAGCGCATATCCCCGCTCAACAGCAGGCTCTATGCGCTTTACACTATATTATTACCCCAGCAGACCATAGAACACTCCGAAACATTCTCAGCTTCCAGGGAAGCATACAGCGCAAGCAGCTGATTAAGCGCTCAAACACTAACAAACTGACAAGATCTTTCGCTGTCTATAGCCGGGTACCCATTCCCACCTGGGTGAAGTGAGGAAAAATCGTGTAAAGTGCCTTTCCCAAGGACACAACGTCGGGCCCCTGGCGGGATTCGAACCCACGACCTTACGGTTGCGAGTCCGAGAGCCTAACCACTAGGCCACCGACATAACGCACTGTTTCTTCCTGGTTTTCTTTTGTGTTACTTTTACAAGAGAGAAAGTAAGAATAACAACAGATAAGATGTCATAACCTTTACTGAAAGTTAACAAGTGTTTATATATATCATGTACAAACTTTTCAGATCAATTGTAAATCAGTTCCGTATCAATACAAGAGCAGAGAACAAGAACAACGGTTAAGGCAATAAAATTAGAGGGACTTCAATTAACCAGCCCACCAGTGTAAGTCAAGTAAGTGTGAAGATTAAAAACAGTGGCAAGTACAAACCTCACTTTAGGACAGAGTTAATCACTGAGACTGAAGAGCCCTCACAAAGGCAATCAATTATAATCACCTCCCACTTCCATATATTTGTCTATGTTCTGCTGTGGTTCTAGTAAAACACCGCATCTCTTTTTTTGCCTTTTTCCAAACCAGTTGGCCAGTTGACGGCCTGATGACCAAATAGAATGCCATTCACTTCATTCAGATTAAACAGTACATTAAAATATGTGCTGAGACAATTGTAAATTCACAGCCAATAGACTAATATTTTTTCAGCATTCCTCATCAAAGTAATCATCAGTCCAAGTTCAAGAGCGAACAAGAAAAAAAGATTACAAACATCAACACACGACCATGGTGTAAAATATAGCAGTACAACAGGAATTATCAATCAATATAAATAAATTTTTTATAAAAAATAGGATTTTGGTGTCGTTTGCTGCACTGGACAGTTGCCTTGATGTCTCAGTTTCTTACATGCTCACATGCGGATGCGGAAAGAACTGAAAAGAGAAAGAGAGAACATGGTCACCAGAGTCATGTTACAACATGATACAAAGCAGTGGGCAATAGGCAGGAAAAGCTCCTTAGCTCCACTCACCTAAAATCAAACTAAAAACTGAACACACACACACAGATGCCGCAAATGTGTCGACTGCTGGCCAGAGAGGGGTATCGCTAGTGTACTGTTTGCCTAGATTTATTACACACATCAATAGGCCTACATGGTGTGCACTGGCCTTGCGACGCAAGGATAGCAACTGTACTTCTGTTGCACGACCTTTGGTTGGACATGGCCTGTTGTCTCTGTAGTTCACATAGGCCCTGCACATGACCATGTGACGGCACGTGGTTTGTTTCATGATTTCACTGGCATTGGGCTTTCTTTCTCATTTCTCTCTATCTACTTATACAATTGTTCTGTATGACTATTCAGCAGATTAAGCAAGCCGACAATATGTCGAAGAGAAAGCCCAATGTGTACAGCCTGTAATTCAAATTGCAGTTACTGAAAAAGGTAGATGAGACCAAAAAAAACTTTCAAGAAGTGAAATTTTTTCCTCAAGCATGACATTCTCAACATATGGTGTGGACAAATGTCGCTTTTTGAACAATCCTCTCTAAACTGAAAACTGGGCCACGCCGCAGAAATTCTGGCGGTTCAGTAGATTTTGATTAAGCCGATCCACTGTAATTAAAAAGCTTATAATTACAAAGGAAATGAAGTAGCCAATAAGGATAACATTTTTTGTTTATATTTGAAAGAATCTGAGCAGAAAAATAAGAGGAAAACCATGATCGCTTATGTCTTTTTACAATTTGGCACAAAAAGAAGAATAAAATATGTGACATAATTTTTATTTCCTGTACTGCCAACCTCTCTTTGTGCATTTCTTCACGTTCAGAACTGATAAAAATACTCACTTCACAAAGTCAGGGGCTTTTGAAATGACATGTTCAAACTCTGCGAAGGACAGTGTTTTGTCATCATCCAGATCAGCCTCTTCCATTATCTGAAAGGAAAAATAGGATACATAATAATACAGGATACATACAAAGATAGGACACAACCACATGAAAATCCAAAGCCAGTAGGTAACTTTGTATGCGCATATTCTGGTGCTTGTGTTGGCACAATGCTATGCCTTTACTGTAATTTACTTCTTGTGTTGGCACAATGCTATGCCTTTACTGTAATTCACTTCTTGTGTTGGCACAATGCTATATGCCGTTACTGTAATTTACTTCTTGTGTTGGCACAATGCTATATGCCTTTACTGTAATTCACTTCTTGTGTTGGCACAATGCTATATGCCGTTACTGTAATTTACTTCTTGTGTTGGCACAATGCTATGCCTTTACTGTAATTTACTTCTTGTGTTGCACAAGCTGTAGAAGGCACACAGTCAATTTCTTAATTTTGCCAACTTGCATGACGTACATGGTACGCCACACACTACTCATGTTCATGACATACCAGGCATGTTTAAGGGCAACAAAGGGTTAAAAAAATGTTTGTGATTAGTTAACATTGTATTTAAATATGATTTAAAGGCATAGGAAGAAAACATGAATGAATACAACTCTTCTACCCACCCCCTCCACTTTATTGATTAAGGACAACACAAGTGCTGCTTGGATTATTACTCGGGAATAAAAGACGCACATATCGGTACCAAATTTGCTAGTATTGTGCAAGTTATTTGAAATTATGAGTAAGATGAAGTGGAAGCATGGAATGGGAGGTGTGAGGAGAAAATTGCCATGATCGAAGACCAGGGTCCAAAAGAGTCATGAGTAGACTGGATCTAGACTGTCTAAACTGTCAAGAAAATAAGAGCCGACAGTAGGAATGCATACCCCCTGGTAACGAAAGGGTCAAAGTATACGCAATATTATGTAATAAAATTCAACTTACAAAAATCAATAAAATATAGGACTTCCTCATGTTACTTAAGGGTGGGGGGGGGGGGGGGGGGGGGGCTACACCCCGAAAGTCACGATTCGGCTCAAACAATGGATTTTAAGTTGTAGGCATTTTTAGCTTCTTCAGCCTCTCTTACAAATATTTCATTGCATAAGAACCCCCGAAAGCCTTATTTCTTCCCATTCAGGCACGTTTGTCACTACCATTTCCTCATAATATAAAGTCATTCTTTTATTTTTCTTTATCGTCTGTTTTTTCAAAAAGTGATTTTTCTATTATGCTTTTTTGAATAACTCCACCATTTTTTAATCCAATCTTCATGAAATTTTCACAGAATGAAGAAAAGATGTAATACGAAAAATTTGTGAGATGAAAGTGAGATAGCCTTTAGCTGTAGCCCCCCTCCCCCAAATGAAAAAATAATTATAATCAATGTTTTAATTTAGGTTAAACAGTAGACACAGGATGAGTGGCATGATGCTATGACTAGATCTATTAGATGAGAAGACAAGATTACGATTGGGAGCCTTATAAAAGCATTTTTGCAATCATTAAATATCTTTATAGGGCCAAAATTGCAAGTATTAAAACTAAATCAAGATTTTTAAAAAGTGATTTGTTTGGTTGCTGGCCCACATGAATGTCATGCAAAGTTAGGAGCTCATTGGCAAATCGTTAAATAAGCTAGAATTTTTTAATGCACACAGACAAAAGTGAACAAGCTATAACTATATAATGTATACTCTCTTTCTCAACTGACAACACCAAAGGCCTACATAAACATACATTGTCGATCAGTTGTTGCATCTCATCCTCGGTGAGTTTGTTGGCCCCTGTCAGGCACTCAATCACATTTTTCAGGTCTTCATCAGAGATTAGGTCATCTCCATCAAAATCTGCCGCAGAAAGAGAAAGTCAATGCATGTCAATTTTATTTCAATTTACACAGAAAAATCCTTTCCCATACACAGACTAGTTTGTCCTCTTTGCAACAAGGATGAAAAACTCAAAATGACAAATCATATAATTTTACCACAAAATTATCAGTACACTTGAAACTGGAAGATTCTATGTAAAATTTTGTAGCCCTGCCTTGTCCACTTTTTCTTAGCCTTTCCAAACATGTACACGTATTTTGTAGAAAAAGCATCCATTTATGATTTAAGAAAAGTAGGCCTACCTTTATAAACACAAAATATGTCGTTAAGATTAAAAGTAGGTAATGTGACAAAAACATGGCATTAAGCAGTGCTCGCTTTTATTTTTATACTTTATTCATGAGGCCACAAGTACTGTATAAGTAATAACTTCTAAAATTACGGGCACCGGTACCTACAAAAAACAGAAGAACAATTATGACATTAAGGATAACACTGACTGAAACTGCGATTAGATGTTGCTTCCAAAGTAATGCTTTTGTGCCTTCATGTGAGTTAAAAGTCCATGACAAGAAACAAACAATTATTTGTTTTGAAGGTAGATCTACACCACACACAGAGAGGTTCAAAAAGTACAATGTGGAGAACAATTTTATATCAAAACGAGGAAAGGCTAAAGCATAATAAATTATTATCTATTCAGTGCAAGAATGAACAATGTCTAGTCAGGGTTGGGTTGATTTAAATCAGTTGATTTTTTTATATTTAAATCAACTTGATTTTAAAAATAAAACTCAGTGATTTAAATCACTTTTTTTTTAAAAATGTACTCTGTTTTTACATCTTTAAACATTCAAAATTCCTTTCATGGTTTTATAAAACAGATATAAGGTTTAGTAGACTAATATAATCATGCTTAAAAGTCTGCTTTCCCCCCTGTCATTGTAAAATAATATAGTATTCAATTTTTTTTTTTTCATAATTGAAATCAGCATTTTCTTTTTCTTTTTAGACAAACACAAGCGCGCGCACACACACACACACACACTGAAATAAAATGCAAAAGTTTATCTATGCTTAATTACCCCCCCCCCCCCTCCTTTTAGACTGACATTTTCTTCATTTTTTTGTCTGTAGCCATAATTCACTGATATAGCAGATTAAGGCTTTCTTTTGCAGTTGCTTAAATTAATTATTAGTTAAAATAAGGACAATGCAATTTGCACTAAAAGAACATACTTTTAGCCACCAAAAATCCCAAACTGAGTCGACATTTTTTTTTAATAAAAAAAAATTTTTTTTAATAAAAAAAAATGTGTAAATCCGATTTAAATTTTAAAAATCTGATAAAAATTTTAAAAATCGATTTTAAAAATTTTTATTTTTAAAAAATCAAAAAAATCACCAACCCTGTGTCTAGTTATTTTATAGATAATCCCTTCTGAAAATGCATTAACTCACTTCAGACGGTTCACACAACAGTAGCGTGACCCCCGCCGCGACGCTCGCGACGGCTCCCACAAGCCCTGCGTGACCAACTTTGAAATTTTTGTTTCGCTCTACAAATCACGTACGGATCGCGGGACCCGCCTTATGCCCTTGTTTGGCCAAGCCTGAGCTACCTAGACTTCGTTTCGTATCTCTGGGACCCGTAGTTTTTAAGTTATTGAAGGTGAAGGACAGTGACCCTACTGGGGTTGAACTGACTGGAATTCGCGCTTTGTTTTTTTCTATACAGCTGATAGTAATCCGACAGTCGCATCGTAGTAACGGTCGAAGAAGTTGCATGAACAAGAATCACATAATTTCGCCGTTTTCGATACTTCTGTACTAGTTCTAGTGTCTCAGAATATGATGTGTCTGATAGTTAGGATCCTGGACATGTACCCGAACACGGCCCGAGTCATAGTTTTAGGGCTAGATCTAGCACTAGTACTGGTGGTGTTGTTCGCGCAACGAAATCACAACGTCGTGCCGTACATCTGTCTTATGTAATTCAGTGCATGGGTCTGAATCAACGTACAGGCCAGCTTGTATACTTTCACCAAACACTCACACATGCATACAAATCAAAATACAACATTTTGAACTTTTATTTTTGTTGTTGTGAATTTCATTCTACCTGTCACATCTCTGGAAATTTTTCGGAAAATCAAATTCATGCCAATTTTTTTAAAATCATATAAATTAAAGTATTCGACTTGGACAACTTTAGTTTTTTGTGTTAGATTAAGCTTGAATGTTACTTTACTGTATCAAACAATAATTACAATATGGTAATTCTGAGAGTTGTGGCGATTTATCGAAATACTCCGAAAAACGCCAGTCTTCAACGCTTGTGACTGGAGAAAGGGCCCAGTAGTAAGTGAGTTAAATTTTAAAATGTAGGTAGAAGCTTACCATACACACGGAAAGCATACTCGACTTTCACATTTTTCGGCGCCCCATCACTGAACACAGACATCATGTCCAAAAAATCTTCAAATGTCATGCCATCTCCTGACGACGAAAAAACCTTACAGATCTGGTCTCTGAAAGGATTCACCTGGGAAAAAAAAGTGAAACAAGAAAAAAAGAAAAAAGAAAGAAGTCAACATACTAAGCATATTAACTTGTCTATTACTTGGAGATTTTACAGAAGAAATTGATGTTTTTACTTCACAATTAAGAGGTCAGAAAGACCCACTCACAGGCTTCTTTCAAGTTTCAAGGTGAAATGATGCACAAATTACCTCAGTGCACCCTCTACAAAATTCTAATCTTTCATGATTTTAGAAATTAAGAATACCTATATTTCATTTTTACTTTGAGCAGGTCAACACCTTATGCAAGCCCGCATTTAACCACAATCTGAAGATTTCCCCATATCCAAGTCTTGACACAGCAGGTGTTGAGAACCAAACTTTCAAACTTTATAACTTCTCAATTCTTTTTTTAAGATATAAACCCCCCCCCCCCCCCCCCCAAAAAAAAAAAAAAAAAACCCATTGAAATATTCAGCCAGTCTCATTATTTTGTCCGAGATATTACTACATTGTATTTCTTGGAAACACAAAATTCAGAGGAGTAAACAAAACACACAAAAATGATTAACTACAACATTATACAAATATAAACCACACACACCTTCAGTTCTGGCAATTCCCTTATTTTTGTGAATGGAAGTTTTGCATTTTTGTCAGCCTCCACCAGTCCTGGGGATATAGCTTTGAACCGTTTGTGAACACTGTAAAGAGAAAGAAAGGTTATTGCTGTAAAAAAAATTGCTTTCACTTTCAGTAACACGCATGTAGTGTTATGATACTGCTTCAAATATTAAAAAGCTATAAATTGACACCAGTAAAAATTGAAAGAGGAAAGCCTCTTTGGGCACAGGTATAACATTGTTTACTTTCAACACTATCACACAAAGGAATAAACACAAGGGGCATAAAAACAGGTTGAAAAAAAACAAGAATAAGAAGCTCAATACTAAAAAATACAACCATTACTATTGCAAATTTTACTTCTTTTCTTTCCACTGAAAAGACAATTATTTACTCTTTACTTCATGGCTAACTTATGCCTGATAGAGACATCAAACTAATCCCTCCCACTCCGATTACACTCCCAAAGAGTCAGAAATGAAAGAACAAAACCCCTCCAACAAAAACAGTAATTGCAGCATTCAACTATCTCAATCAATGTACCGTACATCCAGCATGTGATTTCCCTTTTATATAAATGTATGATTAAAGAACAGTTACCCCTAACTACTTACTTTCTCAGTGCACGCTGAAGGCCATTTGTACCTTCAGTTTAAGGACTTGTAACAGAGAAAAAAATATTTATAAGGACTCAGAGAAGGTATATACTCACTGAAGAATTTCCTTCTTGGATAAATATGTCAGGGTCTGAGGACATAAAATAAATCAATCTATAAAAATTTGATGACCCTTTGACAACATTTAAAAATCATTAACCTCAAACACAATCATACATCAGTAAGTTTGAGCAAGTCATTTTAACAAAAATGACTTGTCAGTCACCGAATCAATGCTACAACATTCACTACTTTCAATTGTTGATTTGTGATATAAAGAAGGTACTTTTTGGGCGACATAACACAGCCTAAATAAGCAAAAAATCCCAGTAAAACCTGATTTGACCAACCTTTTCCTTGTGATGGTAATTAATCTCTAGAATTGAAGAATTAGTTTTGCTTCCCTGTTCTCATCATTCTTGTTCAGTTTAGTTTTGTCTCTGTGCTCGATGACTGTTTACCAGAAAATAGATATATCTTGACCAAAAAAAATTGATAAAAGATCAATGTGACTAGAATATTTTCAGTTTTGGTGGGAATTTAATTTTGAATTTTGTCCAGCTGGTGGCCAAAGCCTACTCTTACCAATTTTAGGACCACCAAGGGATCTTTAACGTGCACAACTTGTACATGGAACCTCTGAAATATTTTGCCCTTACTTGAAAAGGCCAGGTGTTCAACCTAACCTACCTTAAGATCAGGGGTGTGGCTGCAAGACAGCAGTAAGAAGTAACTTGGTAAAGTAGTAAGAATCAAGAGTAAAGGAGAAAGGAGTCCAGAGATGGTCGGGGCTCAAAAAAAAAAAAGGGGGGGGGGGTGTAGATGAAAGCAGATGACAGCAGTACATGACTAGAGAACAGGCAAAGAAGTGGACGGAGACAATTTTACTTTATTAATCACCGTCTTCTACGTTTAACGGCATGTGTTAAAGTTTAGCCCTCAAATCAAAGCATCCTCTGTGTATAAGTAAAAATTTGGCTGTCATTATTCTCACCCGCTGTGAAAATAAAAATATAATTTTATTCTCACCCGCGTTGAAAATAATATTATATTGTTATTCTCACCCCGCTGGTCTGAGAATGCAATGGATTTTTAGGTCTACCTGTGTGTTGAGAACTGAAGATAGAAAATAATCTGTGAATTGTAAGAGAGTGACCATTCGTGACCTTCCCCAGAGCGCAGGCCGATTTTTTCTAGGCTCCCGCGGGGATTGTTATGGTTTCATTTTTAAAAATCTTGAGAGTATCCACGCATACCTTCACCAAAACCCTAGACAAGTGTAAATATAAATTCAGAAAGGAATTCACTGGCCAGAGTAGTACTTTTATGTTTTAAAAATTATAATAGCCTTGACTGAAAGCAGTTTAATGAAATAATGTTAGTAATAGTTTGTCATTGTAATGTTAGAACTGGCATTAGGGAGGACTTTCGTAACGAGCGACCACTATGAGACAGAGCAGAATTGAGGGCTAGGGGTAGGGGTAGATCTAGGGGTAGGGGTAGGGGAAGGGTTAGGGTTAGGGTTCGGTTAGGGTTAGGGTTAGGGTTAGGGTTAGGGTTAGGCCTCTTCTTTATATATTGTGTTTGATGGGGTGGTCGCTCGTTATGGAAGTCCTTCCGGCATTTGTTTACAACACAAAAAACATGTTTAATTGTTACCCCTAGCAGAACCCACAATTATTTTTCAGGAACGCAGTGCCTTGACCATAGGCATATTTTTTTCTTAATTTTGATTCGTTAAACTATTCAAGAAAAAAATTTTCCATTACAGAACCATAAAATAATACTGTATTTAGTCACGCGGTCGACATATTCTTAAAGATCCCATGTTGTGATACGGTGCTATTTATATAAAATGGACTCATCCCGACACCCCTTTTTCGCAAAATCGTAATATGCACACCAAAATTTTAATTATAACAAATTAACTACGAAATGGGTAGTAAATCTGACTGCAGAAATGATTTCTACACCCAAAAACACATTGGGTAGCCAAGTTTCTCTCTAACACTCCGATTAGTTACCGAGATATCGTCGATTTTCTTACAGAATCTGCTACTGCGTGGTCCACTTTTTAGGAGTATTTTCCTATATGTGGGTCATCCATATTTTGCCGACCTTTACAACCCCATAACTTTTTTATTTATGAACCGATTCTTAAAATTCAAGAAGCGTAATTCTTAGAATTGAAAATTCTTTCTTAAGTACCAAATAAAAAAGGGCTAAATTAAAGTGAAAATTTAAATTTTCATTGGCATTGCTACCCCATGTTTCCCACTTTCTTTGTTGTAGAAAAAGGTAAAATTGAAGATTAGCAGACCACCTGGCACCTGCATATTATGAGCTGTGTAAAAAAAAAAAGACCGATTCGTACAAATACACAAGCCTATGTCATCTCGATTGTTTACCAAGAAAAAGTTGTGTTGCTGTGTAGAGCTGGGCATACAGCAACTTTTGATTCCATAGACCAGCGCACAATTCATTTCGTAGATCTACGTCAAGACAAGCTTATTATTGTAATAATGATCAGTTGCCGGGGGAAAAAAGACTGACGCGTATGCGACATTCAACGCCCGGACCGATAATGCCCCCCCACCCCCCTCTCCGACACGCACACAGCCACACATGTGCAGGCCGCCCATCCGACCCCGACACACGCTAACGAGCCATCTTTAATTGCTTCTGATGACCTCTTGACAAACAAACATTTATTAGAAGCGCATAACTTTTCAGGCCGGCCTCAAATTCACTAGATCTAGATCTAGATCTATAAAGATAAAAACTCGGCTCCTGCACAAAACGCCATTTTGCCCGAAGTGATTCCGGTCTCTACCCAGCCTGAGGCGAGTCACGAGTGAGGCAGGACAGGAAGCCGGAGTCACGAGTCACAGGAAGTCGGAAGTCGGAAGTGATTTCATGCTGGACAAGAATCAGAGTCCGAAAAACATTTTTTCTTGATGAATATATTCGGACTCCGAATAGTCACTTCGTCGATCCAGTTTATCCTCAACCCGGGTGAGAATAATCACTGTGTAAAAATTTACCGGTGATTTAATGACTTCCAGATGTCGCCTGGTTGGGAAACTAAAATGCACGATTTTAGCCAGTTTTCAGCGCTGTGAACAACATTCATTTCTTTCAAAATGATAAGTTACCTGATAATCATCCAGTTCCTCTTCTGTAAAAACACTCTGTGAACCACCCATGATGAGGCTGTCAAGGTACCTTGACGTTTACTCCTCGGATATCACGATTATCAAGAAAACGATCTGGGTTTGTTTCCTGGTTTACGGCAGACCCGGGTGGTGGGTATAAAAAACAACCAACAAATAAAAATAGGCCTAAACACAGCACGATTCTCTATTGTTGTGACACAACACTCTCTGCAATCAATGGGATGGGAAGCTTTTTCTGCTTCAGTGCCTCTATCAAAAGCTATACCAATTTAACCTGAGTTGTCTTCGTTATGATGACTGTACATCAGCGGTGAGGATAAAATAGGCCTAAATAAGAGTTTATTTTACAGCATAACTTCTGGAACTTGTTTCATCAAACTGCTGTTCGTACTTCGTATGTCTAAGAAATGTATCATATTTTCGTTGGCACCGTAAAAATGTATTCCTGAAGGGAAGTCTGTTTTATGAGAAAGTATACGTTTAATTGATTTTGAAAATATGTAAAAATAGAACACGTAAACAAGTAAGAAGCATGACTCACACGGTGCGACTCTATGCGACAGTCATTCCTGTCAAAATGTGTAATATAGCGAGAAACACCGCTCGCTCATGAATGAAAGAATTTTTTTTTATCATAAGTCTGGCCGAAGATGTAAAAATGCCTTTGCAGCGAATGTTGCGGGCTTCCAGCAAAGTGTCTCTTCAATTTCCTGGGCCTGGGAAAGCACGACGGCTGCTGCGGCGAGCAACGCAAATCAAAATACAGTGTTGGAGTTGTCAAACATCGTTTGCTCAGCCTCGCAGACCGTTTCCTGTTCCAAACTTGATATTTATGCTGCTTTTTGTCTCATTTTATGGATGTAATAGTCAACCTTCTGAAGTGCTGGGTCTTTCTAAAGGTTTGAAACCTTAGCCCATTAATTTATTGAATTTGAATAAACGCTGCTAGATATTTAAATTAAAGGCATAGGCCTATTTATAAAATTTTATAGACAGCACATTGAATTTTCTTTTTTATGTTATTAAATTAAATAGGAGTTGGGGTGTGTGTTTGGTGCCTCTCTGTTTTCCTTCCCCATAATTTGATGTTTTACAATTAGGTTTGACATTTTCTTGAAGATAGCCTACCATACTTTGTTTCGGAGAGTTTTAGTGGCCATTTATATTGTGATGTGCAGCAAAAATATTTTGTAAAAATTAGCCATTTGACTCCCAAAAGCAGTGCATCTATTTGTGTGCGGGAGTGAAAGCAAAATTTACCTGCTGTTCTTGTTCTTGTATAACAAGGGAGGGACAACAGCAAGACTATAAGGCCCCATTTGCATTTGCACAGAAGACGAGTTTTTGTTGAAGGTGCTATTTTTATAGGATAGGACCTGACCTGAATGAAGGAGCAATACGTTCCACACAAGAGCACCCGCCAACCATCAACAAAATGTTTTAGGATAAGAATGAATATATATAGAAGAGGCAGTCTTTCAGATTTACTTGTTTTATTCACATTTGCTGTGTTCGGGTAGGCTTAAAATTATGAAGTAAGGGTGGAGGTCTGGTGCATAAATTATACAGAGGTTCTGCTACGACCTCTGTAAATAAAAGGCATGCCATATATATATAGAATTGCTTCACTCTGAAATTCAAAACCCTCACCCTGTCCCTCCCTATTAATTGATGCTTTAAAAAAATGTTTTCATCACAGTAGAAGCAGAGGACCGATTAATTATAATGAAAATAGAAAAAATATTTCTTAAAGTAGAATGGGTACACCTCTTTTATTAAGCGCTGTCACTGCATCGGAAAGGTCTATATTGACCTTATAATATTCCTCACTGTACCCTGCATCAACTTAATTCACAATTTTAAATTTATGATATTCATCACATTATTTTATTTTGTACTCATAGGCTTGCTTCGAAGTATTATAAGGCTGTCTTAATTTTTAAAATGTCTTTGCTTTTATTGTACTGCTACCTTAAAACATAAAGAATATTAAGTGCTCAATGTGTCATCCACCTGATCGCAAAAAAATTTGTTGAAAGTAAATACAAAGGAATCATATATATATTATTATCATATATATGTTTGTTGGAACCATTTACAGAAATAGGTTTACAGAGATTTTCTGTGCTGAGTATAAGAGTTAAAGTAACTGATCTATGAAAGAGAAAAAGTTAGTGTTAATAATTTGTTAATAGTTTCGTGCCATTTTTCAGCTTACCCTGAACAGTGTGTTGACTTTCTTGACTTTGTGCAAGTCTTTTGTGGAGACAAGAACGACCCAGCCAATTGTATTCCTGATTCATGGGTTTGCGATGGCATCACAGACTGCAACACTGGATTCGATGAAACAGTGGCAACTTGTCAAAATGGTGAGGCAAGCTTTTGGTAGAAGATAGAATGTATTACACGAGTGTTGGTTATTTCAAGGAGTTTAGTTAAAGATATGGACTCCTTTCCCACTTGTGAAGCCATGATTGTCGATTTCTCCTCTGTACGGTAATCGTGAGGTGTAATGATAATGGTACGGATTGTAGTCATTGTGATTATGGTAGTAGTCATTAGGACTGTTTTACATGAATGAAAATCAAAAGTTGTGCACAAGAAGTTGTAGAAGTGTTCATAATAGAGCATCATGAACACCTAAAAGTGAAAGGATAATTTAACTGAAATTCTTACTTTAATAGAAATAAATAATGATTGGTTTGGTTCTGCAAAACAGGGATATGAAAGTTGCCTCATGCTGTAGCTTTATGAAATGGTAAATGCCACGGCTCTGAGCCCAGAACAAATCATATGTTGTTACTGTATAATTATTGGGTTGTTTAATTATTTTTAACAGAGGACCCTTGCCAGCCTAGTCCATGTCTGAATGGGGGGTCCTGTCTTGGTATCCCTTCTACACTGAATGTGACTGTTGCTTACCCCATCTGTGAATGTTCCGAGCTCTTCACTGGGCAGTGGTGTGAAAACGCTCTCACAGATGAACCGAGCTCTTCTCAAGCACCAGGTGAGTCAGAAAGAGGCCTACTTTTAAACATTTTTTAGGGGGGGGGAGTATTTTTATTTTTTTTAAATTTTTATTTAGTTGTGTTTTGTTTTGTTCTGGATTTTTTAAAAGTCTGAGTTAGGTGTGTTTGCCTTGAGGATAGGTAAAGGGCTTTATCTAGTAAATAAGCAGGAGACTTTGTGAGTGGAACTTCAATTCAGTTGAGCACAGATAACTGGATTAACATGCAAAACTCTGAGTCACGAATAGATCAAACGATATATATGCCATTCCCTAATTCAAAAGCTATTATTTTGTTTCTATTGGCAGCACTGTATTCTTGAATACTTTCCTGGATTTGTGGAACAGCTCCTCTCGAAAGCCGGATCTAAGTTTTTCCTTGCAATTGTCTCGGAATTCAAAACACCCTTGTGTGCACAATGAAAAACAATTACACCCATCATCATCACATTGGGACTGTCAGGTTACATGGAATTGCTGGGCTTACCTCCGCAGTGTGATACACACAAAAAAAACGCATGGTTGCATATTGCCTGTAGTGTGTGTAAGGCACTAAAACCTCCAAGAATCTAATCATGTGAGGGTGGGTACTGGGTGGTGGGGTGTGATCGAAGACTGTGTTGCTGCATTGGTCTGTTCGGTGTCTGAATTATGTTTATGTTTGTAGGTATATGTATGTGTGTTTTTGGTTGTTTGAATGTGAAGGTATGGATTGGGAAATGATTGCACTGGAGGAGTGGGTGGCGTGTTCTGACCATTCTTGGTGACCATTGTTTGTTACATCATCTTGATCGTTATCTGATGTAAAAGCAATGTTTTTTTTAGTCCTAATGCTCATTAACATCACTCTCCTTCTTTCTCTTGTTTCTACATTGAGTAAGGCGTGTGTACTATACATCTTTCTATTCTTTAATTTGATATTTGGCTTTTTTCATGATGGCAGAAAGTTCTGTTAATATCTCTCTGTTTTTTTCGTTATCACAGTTCATTTGAATTACTATCAGTCGAACAAATTTGTCAACCCCCAATGTCTTTGAGATATCCGTGCTCAACTGCAGTATAGTATGCTATTCCTTTGCTCAAGTTATATTACCCTTTCAACGCAGAAACTTTTAAGGAGGCAGGGTCTCTGTTGTAATGATCATGTCTAAAGACCTTGATACCCAGTATGTCAGTGTTTTAGTGCCTATAAATGGCTGCTTGCACTGGTTGCTTCCCAGGAAGTTGAGGTTGTTTCAGAGTGCTCTCAGGTCTGCTGGGGTAATAGTATAGATTGTGAAGCGCATAGAGCTTGCTGTTGAGCAGGGATTTATGCTATACAAATGCTATCTATTATCTATTAATTACTCATCATTCTCATGGATGCCTATTTTAGAATTCAAGCCAAAATCACCTACACCACAGTCTAGCATAGTACCAACTGAGTTGGCTCAGTACCAACAGTTTAATCGAGACATTTGTTTCTGAATTGTAGAGGAAATGGAACATTTTTATTACCGTTACTATGATGCTTGGAAAGCGTTCAGCATTTTGTGCTGCACAATTCCTGTCATGTCTGATCCTGTGTTCATGTAGAGAGACCCATCAAAGGTTTTGTTTTATACATCTGCAGCACCGGCCTCAGCTTGCGACCCCAACCCATGCGCTCCCAATGGTGCATGCACTCCTTTGCAGGGTAACGCATTCAGGTGCTCATGTGTTCCTGGTAAGTTCATTTAATTTTTTGCATATTTGCCTTGTCGTTAGTAAGCTGTTCTAATGTACTAAGCCTAGAAAGCAAAATTTTTCAGGGGAGACCAAAATTGTTTCATTCTTTTAGCAAACGTACCTCCGTTATGTATTTTTTTTCTTGCTTTTTCTTTTAATTAGAATATTGACAAAATAATTATTTCTCGAGCTCATGCAACCAATACCACAGATTATGAATCTTCAATAAAAAGGATTTTCAAAATTTTTGATTTATTACTTATCTGAACAGCTGGTGATGCCAGTGTCAAAATAGTAAAGTTTAGGTCAAGGCCTGGGAGAACAAGTTTTAGCACTGTTATTTTGTGACTGCTTACTGAGAAAAAACTTTATCATACACCCAGACTTTTTTTTCCCATTTTTGCATGTTTATTTTGTTTTTAAATGTTTGATCCTTATGCTTGTAAGACCGTTTAGGTGTTAATAATTTTTTACAACTTTTTCTTTGTTATACTTTTTTATAACAGAATATACTGGTGAGAAATGTGAAATTGGCACAGATCCCTGCAGGAGTGCTCCATGTCAAAACGGTGGGACATGTGAGGTAGGGACATGGAGTATCTTTGTACTTGAACGCTATAATATTTGTCAGACATATTATAATAGCAGTGTGCATCATATTGCTGCTGCACCCCGTTTTTTTATTCGAGTACATGCACATTTATAACAGAAAGGGCTTTAAAATTATTTGATTTGTGCTTTTCTCTTTGTTTTTCAGTGAAATAATGTTGTTATTTTGAACATGCACTATGTTTATGTCCTTTTTATTTATGCTTTGTACCATTGTAGGATCCGCCTTGCTGCCTCAGGAGACAGGCTGCCAGTAGCATAGTCATGAGGCATCCTCTAAAGTGATGCATCGCTTTCAATCTCTTTTTTTTTTTATAGTGGAGGGTTTTACGGCGCCCGCAACTGCATAAGGTCATATGAGCACCAAGGGGTGGGTGTCAACAGAGAAGTCTTTACAGGAAATCAGACTTAGACTGCTCACCTCTCTAGCTTCAACAGCACAAGGTCCGCTTCGACTATCAAGGCACCCCAAAATAGCAGGTCACAAGAGAGTGACAAACATACAAAAGAAGTAGAGGAAAATGACAATAGTAAGGATCAGGAAAGAAAAAGCAGCACTTCCCTGTTGTAGATCAGGCACAGTTATGAGCATGACTAGGGTCAGCCCATTTACAATTCTATTATGCTTGAACGAGAAATGTCCCCCCTTTGGGAATTGTCTAAAGACACTTCAGTCAGTGGCACTTCCCCGCGGGGTTTTCAATCTCTGTTGTGCTTCTCATCCAATATTGGCATAGCCAAAGTTAGTTCAAGTTTTTCTCATAATTTCTGATACATATGAATGTACTATTGTACAAGGTAGTTGGAATCTTTTCTGTCAACTGGAAATTAACTGTTTTCTTGTGTGGTTACTTGAGAACCATTTTTTTCTCCTTTAGTAGTAAGTATGTCTCCTCCCTCCTTCCCCTTCCTCCATCTAAAAATTATAAGGCACTTTTTCTCTCTCTCATAATTTCAGTCTTTTTTTCCCCTACTCTCATAATGTCAGCGTCAGAGCCTCTGTCTCATAAATGTAAAGGTTTCCACTTCATACGTCAATGCTTTTTCTCATAATTGCCATATTTTTTAAGTCTCATATATTTTCCAGACTTTGTATCCTCCTCGTAATTACGGGGCTTTTTTTCTCTTTCCCATATCTTTGATTGTTATCCATTAACAGGCAACAGGGCAGAGTTTCCGTTGCTTATGCACTGAAGGATGGACTGATCAGCTGTGTGAATCTCAAGTTGATCTGTGCTTAGCCACAGTCTGTGAGAATGGGGGGACATGCAGCAGTAGGGAAGGCGTTGCCACATGTTTATGTGATGATGGGTTTTCTGGTAAGTCATCTTGTGATAGCATCCTTTTGTTGTTTTTGTCTTGTATATCGAAGTGATTGGTCTATTAAGTGGAGGCTTATTACCCTGAATTACATGTTTATCAGTTTATAAAACAAAAACTAAACTTGGTAGAGTTATGGAACTGGTCTCTCGGTTTTATGCAATTTGGATACTTTGACTACTAGACTAAGATGCTTTCAGAACTTCACCTGCCTGTTATTCCTTCAAATTATTTTCATCCTCCACACCTACCACCTTTTTTGTGCGTTTATGAGTATGTGTGTGTTTGTGTATGAGTGGGTGGGTGTATGTGGGATGAAACACCAAACCAATGTTCCAGGATCTGGACAATAAAAATGTAAGAAATTATCTTTTCTCATCTCATCTTATCTTTTCTCATCTCATCTCATCTCTTATCTTTTCTCATCTAATCTCATCTTATCTTTTCTCTTATTTTCTCTTATGTTATCTCTTTTCTTTTCTCATCTTTTATTTCATCATGTCTTATCTTATCTTATCTTAACCTCCGTGTTTCAGGTTCTCGTTGTGAGACACCTGCTGGCCAGTGCGGTCCTCAGACGTGTCTGTTTGGTGGCACCTGTGTGGAAAACAAGGAGGACTACTTCTGCTCCTGTGTCCCTGGCCGAGCGGGAAGGTTCTGCGAGAGACAAGAGCTTTGTTCTGGTGAGAGAAACGGACAAGACTTTTTCCTGTCTCGTACCTCGTCTGAATTTTTAAAAAATATTTGTGTTTGTTGATAAATTCTTGTACTTCCATGGTGTCGTGCACAAGAGGCTGGCCAACTCCGAGACCACAAATTCATGAATTTTTGTCTGTCTGTTTTTGTAATTGCAGAATACAAAGCTTTATCGCATTTACAAAGTACTCATGAAATTGTTTATTGTGCAACAGATTATGATTATTGTAATTGTTGTGTTTTGCTTTTCGTAGAGTGCCTCCCCATGGGGATGGATAAAGTTCACTTTCTTTTAGTTTTTTGAAAAAATTTATCTTTCAAAGCTAAAGAAACTCTGTGGAAAAGTTCTTTAGTATGTATGAAAAAAAGAAAAATAGAGACAAAATCAGACAAGTTTGTTTTTGTCTCCTGGAAAATGAGGTATAAGTATAAATAGTGGGTTGTTTTTCTGTCTTTCTAGGCTGTCTTTCCTTCACTTTATGCTTTGTTGATGTTAGACAAAAGATCAATGAGATACTTGAACAGCATTTACGTGAATGGTTGATGGGTGGTGTGGCGTAGTTTGCTCCTTGTTTTCTATCAAGCATTTATCATCCTTATCTCTTTTCCTCCTTTTCTTTGTATATTACTCTCTAGTCTTCAGCACTTTTACGACCTATTTGTGTTGCAAATGCAATTAAACTCTTTCTAAAAACTAACAAAAGCAAAAAAGAAAACAAGCATTTACTTCCTCTATAAGTCAAGTGTCTGTGCTTATATTGTTTACAGAAAATCCATGTAAGAACTTTGGCGTGTGTGTCCCAGCTGCATCAGAGACGGCGTCGCCAGTGTGTATATGTGAAGAGGGCTACACCGGCCAGCTCTGTGAGATAAACATTGATGACTGCCCTCCAGGTGCTTGTGGAGACCAAGGTAAAGAATTCTGTGTCATGATGCGGTGGAATCAGGCGCTCGTCAATTTTGGGGCATGTGGAATAATTGGTTTTGCCTGAAAGCTTGTACGTTTGCCTTGCTTTCGATTTACCTTTAATGTAAGTCGAGAAATTTGCAGTTGAAGGAGGTGGGGGGGGGGGTCGTCTGGTTTCAGAGGTAGAATGAGCGGGAAAATATGGCCGCCAAACTTTATTTATTTGCATAGCCTGAGAGTCCATGGAAACTAACAATTTGCATTTTTTGTGCCTTTAATTGACGTTTTTCAGTAAAATTCACACACAAATGGGTTCTTAAATGGACATACAAAGTGTTGAGCTAAAAAACAGAAATTTTGATGCCAGTTTCATTGATTTCATTATTTTGACGAGCGCCTGATTTTGCCTCGCTGCCTCACATTTTTGGTCAGTTGTCCTGACTGTTTCCTGTGATGCAATTTGCAGGTGGATGTTTGGGGGATGAATGTGATAGGTCCCTGCTCCTTGTCATCAGTCTTTCCTGCTTTTATTTATTTCAAAGGACTGTTATTGTATTAGTGTATATAGAGATATTAGTTGAACTCGGCCTAAGGTCACTGCTTAGACTAGAAATTTGGGTGCTAAGTGCTGGTACTTTCAGAGATTCATAGGAAGGCATTCCATCTTTGACCTGTTCATCTAAGTAATATGAACTTTTCCAGTGAAATTAGTAGGCCTGATTGTCTCTAAACTTATTGGTATATGTCTGTTGGTACTGAATGAGAATGCATACTTATACAATGTACAAAATACATTTAGTTCTTAAATAGTTTAACAGAATGTCAAGTTAGAGCAATTCGTTACATAGACAGCAGGAATAGATTTTCCTTTTTGTTGAATGAATAGATTTTTCATTTTGTACATGTGCATGAACTGTCCAGCAAAGTTCCTTGGAAGACGTAACATCAAATGGATGTTTTATTGGGAATTTGTATGTGTGTGTACGTGTAATTTGTATGTGTGTGTACGTGTGTTTATTTGACCCACAAGAGCAACAACAACAAAAACTTAAGATAGTTATTGTTATAAACTTGTAATGGAGGAGTCCTGGTTCAGCAGTATGGATTTGGATAGGCAACTGAAAAGTTTGCTTTTTGTTAGAATGATTGTTGCGTCATATTACCCCAATTTCTTTAGATCACCCAACTGCCATTGGGTACCTGGCAATTGGCAGAGATAGTGGTGCACCTACCAGGCAGCAGTGATGTATTTACCTCAGAAGACAGAAGTTATTATATGGAACAAACATGCGGGCCAAAGAGTTGTTATGAAGTCTTGTTATCCTTTTGAGAGATATATGACTATGAATACAGGATCTATCATTGTGAGAAAGACGCAACGTTTTATCTGAAAATCAGAGCTTCAAAGTTTCCCTGTGTCATTTTCATAAGATTTGAAATTAGACCCCAAAAAATAGTGATCGTCAGCAAAAAGGAAAATAGGACACAAACTGCATATGTTTATTTAGGTATAAAAAACAGGCTAGTTAATTAAAAATTTATTATATTTTGAAGTGTGGTTATCAATGAAAATTCCAGTTGCAATGGTGATGGAGCTTGCTATGGAAAAGTTGGTGTGGCTTATCCAATGAACATATATTGACGGCTTAGTGTAAGAGTCTGCCAAACGCCATTGAAAAGTGACGTATGACGCAGTCTTATACTGGGCGGTCAATATGGTTTGTGCCAAAACTGTTGTTCTCAAGTCCACCTGTGCCTTATTTTGTGCATGTGTCCTATACCCGAAGATATACACTAAGCTTTTTTCCTTCTTTTTTTTTTCCAACAAAAAAAAAGATAATATGAGATAAGATAATACTTTATTGTCCTACAGGGAATTTTTTCTTGGCTGTACAGGACCATAAAAACACATGCAGGTATACATAAGAATTTAAATCATGTATTACTCTCATTAAAATTCAATATGAAAAAAAAAAACCCAGATACTGACAGAATGAGGTTTTAAGAAATTGTGCTTTTATTCCCGCAGGTACTTGTGAAGATGGGCTCAACTCCTACAAATGTCGCTGCAGTCCCTTCTATACAGGGCCACGGTGTGAAGCTGTGCTTGAGCCTTGTGACTCCGTTCCATGCCAGAATGGTGGCTATTGCTGCAGTAGCAGCAGACTTTTCTGTTCCCCGGATCTGCCTATTGGTGTTTACGAATGTTACTGTTCAAGCGGCTATACAGGTCTGTGTTGTAATATCTTTCTTCCTTTTGCCTTAAAATACAGTGTAAACAGCTCTAATGTCCATCTGTCAAAGATTGTCACCCTTAGTGACCTTTTCCCACTTCTCCTGTTGAGGGTTTTTTTCTACTATAATGACACTGCCCGAGATGTCCTCCTGTCTGAGACGACCACTTTTCTCCTCGACAATAGGGGGCTGTCTTGGGCAATTTTAGCTGCATTCTTTGGTGGATCAATGCTCAGGTGTTGTCTACTCCTTTCACTTCATGTCAGTGGTGCTATTGTCTTGTTCTTTTCCTGGCGTAGATTTAGGGCCTTCGGTACCCACCAATCATAACCTCAACAACATAGATATATGATTGTAAACCCAATAACTGGTTTGAAATATATTGTTTTGGGTGACTGATTCAAACTAATATTTTCAGTAGTCTTATTTTAACTATGACATTTCTTGAATTTAAAAAATAGATAAATAAAATGTTACTTTATTGATCTATGTTTGTAAATTTGGTTTACAGTGGAATACAATTTTATATACACATGGTTTATCAATGTTACATAATACCCTGTATCACACCGGTAAAGAAAATCAACACACCCATCTGATTTTCTTTGGTTACAAGATTTTAGCCTTTTTGGTTTGGTGACAAATAAGGTTTCCTCATGTAATGACTGTCTATTGATTCACACACTTATATTCTCATATATGGAGGCTATCGTGGCCTAGAGGTTAAGGTGCAGAGCTGGTTGTAACGGAGTACAAGTGCTCCGGTACTTGTACTTACGTTACAATTTTCGGTACTTTTACTGTACTCCGGTACATTTTGAGAACAAGTACTTTTACTGTACTCCGATACTTTTTATAAAAGTACTTTTGGGTATTTTTAAAGTACATTTTGAGTACTTTTGAAGCTTAATGAAAGAGTAAGTGCCGGCATTTCTGATCATAATTTAAGGAACAAACACCCGAGCGGGCGCAGCCGATCATCCAAGAGTTAAAATTTGAGATTAAAGAACTGCCCGTCGCGTCCAAGATCAGCCACTCTCATGAATGTGATCACAAGTGTTGTAAAACTCCATGAAACGGTACAATGATCCCCAGACAGGATCACACCGAGGTGTGAACTGACTGATGCGTTTCTTTTCCCCAAACATCACATTCGCATCTGAGCTCGCCCCCTGAACTTTCATCTCTCGCTGGGTGGGTAGGGCCTACAAGTTCGCTCCGGGCAGGATCAGATCGAACTGTGAACTCTTCCCTGACCATTGAAGTTGAAGGCAGTTTTTCTCTATTCCTGAATTTGCGAGACAGCATGAATTTTAACTGGTGTGGTCACAGCGTAATGGTTTGTAACAACAAAGGCGGGGGGGGGACTCAATCAGAGATGGAAGGCTACAATTTTTGGACAGGTAAAGGGGAGGGGCAACTGGATAGACGTAGATAAAGATCTCGAGATGATACGCTAATGAGTGTACGGTATAATATTATGGCATGCTCATGCCACCATGCTACTGTGATTGGTCATCAAGGTTGACCACTCTTTGCTCGCCATATGTCATAAACCCACCCAGGGGTCACGTCAGTTCATGGGTCACTGTAGATTCTTCCTTGGCTTCGTCGGCTAAGATCCCGTATTTCCCTTGCTCCCGAGCACTGGGATCTTAGGCGGAGACTACTGTAGTAGAGAATTTTTTGTTACACTACACTTACTAGACTCTAGGAAATTACATATAGGCCTTTTTTGGTTTGCCGTGGGCGCCGTGGACTACACAGTGTGACCAAAATCTGTCTTACCACTTTTATAATCAATTGAAACTGAAACTGAGTTCTCAATGTATATCAATCTAACAATTTTTTAGGCTACCTAAATTTCTTTTTTCCTTTTTTTGTGGTTTGTGCTTAAGGCTACCTTGATTCCTTGAGGATTTGTTAATGAAGAATTCAATGCCTTTTTTTTGCTGGTCATTTTAATCAATTTTACATTTTCTTAAGAGCAACTTTGTCTCTACATTTTCCAATTTGGATACTTTTCCTACTTTCCGACCTCTAGGACTCACTTACATTTGATCATATTGTCTTGCTCAAACAAGTTCTATTCATAATATCCCTTACTCACTAGTTGCGTCTGTTTGCTTTTTTTTTTTTTCAATTTCATTGACCATTTCCACCTACGTTCAGTGCGTATATATTCAAATGCTTTGCATACTGTTTACATTATTTGTAATAAATGGCGTAATTTGTCAAATATACTAGATATGTTATTCAATATGATGTTTTGCATTAGCACTGAAGTGTTTTAGCATATTAGCAGAAAGTACTCAAAATGTACTCAAAAGCACTTTTTTTTAAAGTTCTTGTACTCAAAATACATTTTACAGGAAAGTACTTTTACTGTACTTAAGTACATATTTTAGATTGTACTTAAATTTGTACTTAAGTACCTTTTTAAAAGTACATTAACAGCTCTGTTAAGGTGTTCGCCTCTATTTCTATAGGTCCTGGTTTCGAATCCGGATAGCGACAGAAATTTTTCTTCTCTAAATTTTCTCCTTTCACCTCCTTTCCTGCTCTCAGGCAATGTTCTGTCGTCTGCTTTCGTCTCCACTTTCTGCCCCCAGCCCCTCACCTCCTTTGCCCCCTCCTCTGGGCACCCGACTGTTTCTGCAGCCTTTCTCTACTGCTACTGCTTGGCTCTTTCCTACTGCTGCCTTTCAGCCACACACCTGATCTTATGGTAGGAAAGATCTACACCTATCCTTCTCAGACAAGGGTGAAAAATCTCGGAGGTGGCGTGTGCAAGTTGCACATGTCAAAGATCCCTTGATGGTCCAAAATCGATAAGAGTAGGCTTTGGCCGCCACCCAGGCAAATTTCAAAATTTCCTACCAACTGAAATGTTAAATGTGTCCCACGTGCTTATATAACCTTATGCAGTTGCGAACGCCGTAAAACACTTACCAAAAAACCCCCTCATTTACACACATGGATACTACTGGGGGCCTCTGTTTTCATATGGCTAGTGCTCATAAAGAATTTCTATCTGTGTTAAGGGTACTGCTTTTAGATGGATAATCACCAGGGTTCAATAATATATAGATATATATATCTTTATTGACTGTTTTGTTTGTGGCTGTGAGGTGAATCTCACTTCAGCAGCCACTTTAACTGTCTTTATTGTTTTTTCCATTTTTATATCCAAATCTAATGTATTTTTTTATAAGCCTGTTAGTGGGTGGTTGGCGGGTGCTCTAGTGTGGTTCTTGCTCCTTCTTTCCTATCAAACATCTATTGTCCTGATCTCTCCTTTTTTATGTTTGTTACTCTCTTGTAACTCCTCTAATCTTCGGCACTTATATGACCTTATTGTGTTGCAAGTGCCGTAAAACTCTTACTAAAACTAAACCTGTTAAATGTTAATTGTTGTCATTAATGTGTGTCCTGTTGCTGTCTGTGACTTTGCTTGACAAGTGCTCTGTGGTGTCGGTGTCCTAGTGGTTAGGCCCTAGGACTGGCAACCATCAGGTCAGGGGTTCAATCCTGTCAGGGACCTGACATTGTGTCCTTGGAAAAGGCACTTTTCACAGATCTCCCTCACTTCACTCAGGCGGGAATGGATACCCGCCTATAGACAGCAAAAGATCTTGTCAGTTTGCTAATGCTTGAGCGCATGTAATCTGCAGATTGCACTGCATGCTTCCGGGGAAGCCGAGAATGTTTCTGAGTGTTCTAGGGTCTGCCGAGGTAATAATGGGTGTAAAGCACATAGAACATGCTGTAGGGTGTGGATGTATGCGCTTTATAAATGCAATTATACTTTTTTTTCTTATTATCTTTATTATTATTATTTTTATTATTATTATTTTTCAACAGAGCAAAAAACAAATAATTGAATGGCATTTCTTTTCTCTCTATTGCTCAGGAAATCACTGCGAGCTCAGAGTACCCATGTGCTCTTCATCCCCCTGCCAGAACGAGGGAATTTGTACAGAGTCCTTTGACACCTATCTCTGCACCTGTCCCTTGATTTACACTGGGAAAAACTGTGAGACGCCCGCAGTGTGTGGGAGTGAGCCCTGTCTGAATGGAGGCAGCTGCATTGGGGAGCCAGATGGATCGTTTTCATGTTCATGTCTGCCCGGTTACAAGGGTGCTCTGTGTGATGCTGTTGACTGCCGTATTCGAGACTGTCTCAATGGCGGGACCTGCGAGACTTTAGAGAATCAGAATGCAGTCTGTGCTTGTTCAGAGAATTTTTCTGGCGAGTTTTGTCATGTTGTTCTCCCTTGCGCTCGACAACCATGTCCTGAGGGGGCCCAGTGTGTGAATATTTCCCCAACCAATTTCACCTGCAGTTGTGTTGATAGTGACAATGAGTTCTGCAGTAATGATTCAGATTCTAAATCACCTTGTGAGTCTCAGCCGTGTGTGAACAGCGGTCTGTGTGTTAGGAACGGAGAAAACTACACATGTCAGTGTGTTGCAGGGTTCACTGGTGTCCGTTGTGAGCAAGACTTAACATGTAATCCAAACCCATGCCTCAATGGAGGGAGTTGCGTGGGTTTGAATTCCAGTTACTCGTGTCAGTGTGTTCCCCCATTTAGCGGTATTCATTGTGAAGAAGACCTTACATGTCGCCCAAACCCGTGCCTTAATGAAGGGGGTTGCGTGGGTTCAAATTCCAGTTATTCTTGTCAATGTGTTCCACCTTTCAGTGGTATTCATTGTGAAGAAAACCCTTTGTGCCAGACAAACCCTTGTCAAAATGGGGGAACTTGTCTGGTTTTGGCTTCCGGTTACAGCTGTCAGTGTGGTGTTGGATTCACTGGTGTCCAGTGTGAGGAGCGTTTGGTGTGTGAACCAAACCCATGCCTTCATGGAGGAACTTGTGTGAGTTCCAATTCCAATTACACATGTCAATGTGTGGCAGGTTTCAGTGGTGTCCACTGCGAAAAAGACCTAACGTGTGAGCCAAACCCATGCAGCAATGGAGGAAGTTGCACGGGTGCAAATTCAAGTTTCACCTGTCGGTGTGATGCAGGGTTTTCTGGCGTCCGTTGTGAAGAAGTCCTTACATGCAATACAAATCCGTGTCTCAATGGAGGGAGTTGCATCGCTTCAGATTCTAGTTCAAGTTACACATGTCAATGTGTGGCGGGATTCAGTGGCATCCACTGTGAAGAAGACCTTACCTGCAGTACAAATCCATGCCTCAATGGAGGGAGTTGCATTGCTTCAGGTTCCGGATACACGTGTCAGTGTGATGCTGGATTTTCTGGGGTACATTGTGAAAACAACGTAATGTGTATTCCAAACCCTTGCAAAAATGATGGCACTTGCTCTGCTTCAAATTCCAGTTACAGATGTCAGTGCGTGGCAGGGTTTACAGGAATCCACTGTGAAGAAAAGCTGGCGTGTGTGTCAAACCCATGCGAGAATGGGGGTACCTGCATTGAGTCTGGTTCCAGTTACACTTGTGTGTGTGCTGAGGGATTCAGTGGTTTGCACTGTGAAGATGACCTTACTCTTATTCCCTGTGTTTCCAATCCGTGTCTGAATGGAGGGATTTGTACAAGCTCAGGCTCCAGTTATACGTGTCAGTGTGTTGCTAAATTCACCGGGGTTCATTGTGAAGAAAACCTAGCGTGTCAACCAAATCCATGTCTAAGTGGAGGGACATGTGTTGTTTCAAACTCTAGTTACACATGTCAGTGTGACACGAGGTACACTGGGGCTCATTGCGAAAACTATGTTTCTTGTAACCCGAACCCATGCATTAATGGAGGCAGTTGTGTGGGTTCAGGTTCTGCCTACACATGTCAATGTAATATGGGATTTACTGGTGTCCATTGTGAAGTAGACCTTACATGCGAGCCAAACCCGTGTCAAAACGGAGGAACTTGTGTAGGTTCAAATTCCAGCTACACGTGTCAGTGTGCAGCAGGAGTCAGTGGGGCCCATTGTGAAGAAGATCTTACCTGTAACCCTAACCCGTGCCTAAACGGAGGAAGTTGTTTGGGTTCTAGTTCCAGTTTCAGCTGTTCCTGTACCGCTGGTTACTCTGGGGATAATTGTGAGACGTTCCTCCTTTGCTCCAGTAGCCCTTGTCAGTACAACTCAGCATGTATTGATGATGTAGACAGCGCCTCTTATCAGTGTGTTTGCTCACCGGGTGTAACGGGAGAGAACTGTGACGTCTTGCTACCTTGCTCGACCAACCCGTGCCGAAACGGTGGTAGCTGTGTCATCACTGACGACACGTACAAGTGTCTGTGTCGAGAGCAATACACGGGTCAGAGCTGTGAGACTTATGTCTCTTGTGCTGGATCACCGTGCTTAAACAGAGGTAGGTGCGTGGTGGAAGGAGATGGCTCATACAGATGCGAGTGCTTTGGCGAGTTCTTTGGCCCCAACTGCGAGTTCAAGGATCATTGCTTCAGTTCACCCTGCAACAACGACGGAGTTTGTGTCAGCATGCTGGATACATTCGAATGTAAATGTCCCACTGGCTTCACAGGTACCTTTTGTGACACGCCTGTTTACCCGTGCTCATCCTCGCCTTGTCTGAATGACGGACAGTGCGTAACCTCTGGCTTCAACTTCAGCTGTATCTGCCCTTCTCCATACGTTGGTCAGACCTGTAACATTTACGTGCCTTGCAGTAGCTTCCCATGTCAGAATGGAGGAACTTGTTTTAACAAAGGGGACGAATATTTGTGCATCTGTTTGAAAAACTTCAAGGGCCTGTCGTGTGAGGTGAAATTGCCTTGTGCTGATTCCTTGTGCGTGGAAGGCAGCTGTCTCAACTCCAATGATTCTGAGTTTGAGTGTCAGTGTTCCCCGGGCTTCCAAGGGCCTCTGTGCAACGTGACTGTACCGTCATGTGACTCCTCCAACTGCATAAATGGCGAGTGCCATGTGAACAACACTGCAAGTTTCTGCAGTTGCTTCCAAGGTGTTTCAGGTATGCATATTTATGAACAATTCCATAATGTATATATATACCTTTGTTTATGGGAAGGCGGGTGGCTGGTGGAGGCTCTGATGTGAGTGGGTCTCTTACTCGGCTTCTTTTCAATATATCACCATTAAATCATTGTATTCTGTTTCTTGCCTGTTTGCAGCTGCTCTTATTGTGCTGACTCATCTTAATCTGCAACTCAACAACTTGTTTTGGGTGTAGATTCTAAGTGTGTAGATGTGTAAATAGACCTCTCTGGGTATGCAATTTTGTGTTACCAGTAAGTGTGTGTATATATGTGTAGAGAGAGAGAGAGAAGCACAGAGAGACGGAGAGAGGAGGGAGAGAAAGAGAGAGGAGGGAGAGAGAGAGAGAGAGAGAGAGCCTATTATTTCTTTGAATAAGTCTAAATATTTTTAATGCATTTTCCAGCACGTATAAATTAACTTCTATTTTGAGGGGTGTGCTACATCTTTCACTCCAACAAAGGAATTTTATTCAACTGTTTGCTCAATGCATAGAGGTGTCATACTTGAAAGAAAAGTACAGATCTCTCAGTCAATCTAAAATTAGCTCATTACATAAGTTATAATGTGTTCTAGAAAGTTTCCACTTGAGGTAGCTGATCTGATACAAATTGAATGTGAAATTGCTGTCTATGCTAAATATTTACTCTGAAACGGTCATGGCTAGTGATAGCACCTACCTTTTTTCTTTCTTTGTTGTTTCTGTCTGTGTTTTTTTTTCTTTTTCCTGGCACTTAATGAATCAACTATTATTCTGTCAATGAGCTTATCTTTGCTCAGACAAATCAAACGAACAAGTAACTCTTGAGAGTAAATTTTTTTTTTTTTTGTCTCAGGACCATCGTGTGAGGTAATCTCCGATGCCTGCTTATCCCAGCCATGTCAGAACGGAGGGTCGTGCGAGTCTGTGGCCTCTTCCTTTGTGTGTGACTGTCCCAGTACTTTCACGGGTCGGTTGTGTGAAACTGAGTTACCTCCCTGCTTCTTTGAGCCGTGTCAGAATAATGCAACCTGCTTGAATAGGGATGAGGACGAAGGTGGTTACTCTTGTGTCTGCAGGGATGGATTTACAGGTAAATGATTTTGGAATCTTTGCTTAGATTAACGGCTTGTTTCAGAAAAACACTTTTCTCATTTTGAAAAAAGAATTGACCTCTTTTTGTTATGTTCCCTCATCTCCCCTCGGTCATATATATTTTTATATTTTATTTGTTTGATACAATGTAAAATGTGTATACTTTTATTCTTTAGAAACTGATTGAAATAAGGTTCAATATTTTGTTCTCCAGTAAAGAAAAATCGTTCAAAGATTCATGAAATCAGTTGTTTACTTTTTGATGGCACTGTCTTGAAATGAAATGTTTCATTTTTTATATGATTTCCTAACAGTAAATTATACTCATGTGACAGAACTATTTTCATCTTTATAAATGTCATGCTCTTTATGACATATATAGTGGTTCGTCAGGTTCACTTGGGGTTGTAGGGAGAAAAAATCCTTTTGCATTTAAGATTTAAGGTGTAGCTCTTTTGTCTACAAACCAGCAAAGGAAGCTTAGGGCAGTATATAGCTAGTAGGCTAATATTTTATTTTTGGTTATTTTTCACTCCAAAGGACTGGGGAGAGCCGGGGGGGGGGGGGGGGGGGATACTTTTGAGGACACTTTATCACAGCTTCTTGTTACTCACCCCTTTCTCCCCAATTGATAGTGCTCATTTTTTTATGGCTGACACTGCCGTTGTTTGTACAACTCTGTTAAGGTGAAATCAAGTAAATATTGAATATAATGGACTACCTGGGGAATATGAGGAAAATGATCTTTTCAAATATTTGCACAGACTTTTTCTTTTGTCAACAGTTACACCAAATGGGAAAAAGCAAAAGCTACCATTTTTCTCAAATTTCACGTTACCCTAAGTTTTTCTCTAAAAATGTACTATAAAAATATTGGTTTTACTTTTTAATTTAATTTTTTTTCAAAGAGCTGGATTTCATGAACCATTTTTTGACAATCATTCACTGTAAAAGTTATATGTCCTGAAAGCTTTTTAATATATAAAGTATTTTAAACAATCTGAATTC